TATCCTTACACATGAACAATGCAACTGAGTTAATCTGAATTAAGTATTTCCAGCATGGGTTTCAAATGATCTGTCCTAGTTAGGAGTCATAATCTTGCCATAGGGCATAAAAGCTGGTCACTCCAGCTCATGGTTCTGTTAGCATTCTGCTATTTCAGAAATAGTAACTCATAATTTTAAGTATTTTTGTGACTATAACTCTGTTTGTCCATTTACACTAAGAATTAAATGATTGCATGGCTCTATATCTTCTTATCTGCCTATGGAGGGATATTCATATTTCAAGAGTCATAAGATTTATAGGTTCAGTCAAGGCCCCAGGCTTTTTACAACAGAAGGATCTTTTGTTGTATTCCTTGCATTTCACTGGCATTTACTCTTTGTAATGATGGCTAAAGAATCTGTTCATGTTTTCAAAAGACAAGAAAGCTGAAGGCTAGACAGAGTCTGGCCACTAGTTGTCATGATTAGTGCCACTATTCTGTGGGGTATCACTGCAACTATTGTAGTTGTCGCTGTTGGTTGTGATTCCTTCTTATGTAAGTTCTTGATTTGCACAGCATGTAAAAACTGTGAAAGTAAGTCCTACATTTTAAAAAAGAAATAGTCCTTGATTAACAATATCAAATACATCTTGATGTGGGAAACTTGTGGCTCTCCAGATGTTATTGGACTGCAGATCCCTAGCCAGCATAACCACTGCTGTGGTGAGATACACAGGCCAACAATATCCAATGGGCCACAATATACACTGGCCGGAATCCTATACATTTTCATAAGTCGACTTATGTATACATGGACTTACATGATATCCATATCCAGTAGAAGGCTGGTGTTACATTAGTACATTACAGAGCTGGCAAAGAGCCTAATGCACAGTGTGCAGCGATTCACAACACACACACTTGCCTGTATCCCACTGTGCAGCTTCACAATTCACTAACAGGGTGTAGCCAAGTCTATTATGGAGAATTTTATTTAGCCAAAATTGAGAGGGGGTCGGCTACAAGGACCCTGCGAGACCATCTCCCACATGTATACCAAGAGGCTGAGGGATCTAAAATTGAGTCAGAGACAGAATTCTCCAATTAAAGTATTATTTATTAAAGGGGAAAATCACACAGCAATTCACATACATACACACACTCATTCAAGGCTCAGGAAATCAGGGGTTAGCTTGGCGATACTTACTACAGATGAGGGTTTCCCTGGGATCCAACTGGGTGAAGTGGCATGAGACACAACCATTGCAAGAGCGTTGGTTTGAACGGAGATGCTGGTAACTAGACTAGAGAGCACAGTGATGTAGTGTCCCCATAAACTCCAAACTAGCAACACTGAGGGGGGAAATCCAGGGGTTTTTAAAGGGCAAAACTATCTGCAGGACAAAGGTGTAAGATTGCAAGGGTGGGGTAATCCGTTTGACAATATTCCAGGTGAATGGGGAAAGATTAAATCATTAGCTGGCCCATCAGGTGAGACATTTAGGCACTTATTGCCCATTCTTCTGATTATGAAGGTGATGATGGTCCATGTGCAACTCCCACACTATCTGCTTCGCTTTTGGGGGTTTTTTTCCCCTAGTCTTCCAAGTGACCTTGGTATGACCTGCCTGTCATTGCCTAGGTGGCACTTGGGGTCCATTGCAGTCTATATCTGGGGTTATGTGGAATTCATACACACACCAAAATTCAGAAAAATGCACTTTGGCCAACAAGGGTTTCTTAGCACCTCTGCTACTTAGCTAAGAATAGGTAAAGTTGTGTTAAATAAAAGGAGAAGCAGGATTCTGATGACTGTCTTTACTTCCATGATGAACAGTGATTAGTCTGAATCTTGGAAAGACATATATGTATCCATATGGAATATGGATTCATTTTTGCCTGTGACTATGTGCATGGGGCACCAGTAAGTGTGTTTTAAATAATAATTTCCATGGAAAGATGAGGTGTTTCAGCAATAACTATATCATTTCCCATGACTGTGTTCCCCAGTAAAAAGAAGACCTCATATTCTCTGACCAGTCATACATTTATTTAATGTTATTTATTAATTAAAATATTTATATATTTTATACATCTGTGTGAACTGTACAGAATCCTGTAGGGATGTGTCTGTGGTGTCATTTTGTGAGGAAAAGAAGCAGTCCACTTAGACTTCCTCCTGTTTCTCTTAAAATAACATTGGTCCATCATCAAATGCAATGCTTCAAGAGGTCTTGTGTCTCTAAGGCAACTCAGGTGGAATACTCCAAGCGGCTATTGTACTAGACAATTATATAGGCCTGTACAAGATATACATGGCCAATCCTGTGCTTATGAAAAGGAGGTCTGTTTATCTTGGCTTTTTTTTAATAATCCAGGATGATTGTAGAATATAATGAAATATACTAGTCATTTCTATATTCATTAGTAACTAATATCCTTCCTCCATCTCAATAGAGCACTAACTCCACCAGATGTCGATTTGTGTGTATATTTGCTATTAGCAATAATTGCAACTGTGCAGTTTTATCTGAACACTATTATATGTTTTATATATCCAATGGTAGCCACATTGGATATATAACAAAGTAGAATATCATCCAAAAATCCACAAAACAGTGACACCAATAAAGGTAATATTAAATAATAAATCACTATTTTGTGGATTTTGAATAATACTGTACTGTGTTTTGTATGTTATTTGCAAAGTAACTTATTGTCAAATGTTTGTAACTATCTTTCCAATACATATGGTTTTAGGGACCAGTGAAACTGGATTTTATAAAGGCTGTGTTTTTAAATGTGCACTCCAAGCATGCTTCTGTACCTTCGCCTAAGCTCGACTTTTAGTGGCATTTTAGCTTGGTATCCTTCTCCCATTTGCAAAGAAACAATTCCCTAATATTTTTGTCAAGTCTACTTTCATGAACAAGATCTGTTCAACTAAAGCTCACAAGGAATGCTACCTTATTTTCATTTATACAGTATTCCTTCAAAAAACAGGGCAATAACAATGACACACGGTGCTTGCATTTTATCCTCACAATAATCCTGAAAGGTTGATTATGTGGAGAGATAACTAGCCTGGTGAACATCATGGCCAACAGGGATTTGAATCACTCAAGACATTACACAACCACACTGGCTGCTAACATGAGTGCATGAAACACATGTTTTATGTGAAAGAAATGGGGGGGATCTGTTTTTAAACTCATTTTGGCTTCAGGACTCAGTCAGAACATGAACAGTATATTGAATTGTACTGCTCACAAGTCATGGTGGCTGAGAGATTCTGGGATTTAAAAAATGAAAAAGAAAACCCAACTATATCTTAAGCTCTAGAAAGAAGTTCCACAGGTAAAGCATTTTCTGGAAAAGCTACATGGGGTTGGGGGGTGGATCAGGGAATGATGTTACGAGGTGTTGCCATGCCCCTGTTATCAGTGGTGTGGACATACTCTGGTGTCATCTTGCCAGTAGTACAGACAGTAAGGTTGGGAACCAGCCTTCCACTCAAACCAATTTTATTTTCCACCTGCACTTCACTCTACACTCAATATATTTGTGAGACATCGTGGACTGGAGTGACAATATTGATCCACTGTGATGAGCTGGATGTTTTCAGAAGTAATACGATGAATATATGTTTGCCCCTAATGTGTTCTTTTAAAAGAGCTTGTGCGTATGTTGATGTCATATAAAACACTGCTGACAGCCATTTTTAATTTGACGTGACAGATTCTAGAAACATAGTTATTTTAATTTGAATGAATGTTGTTCTATTTCTGTGAAAAGTGTATTCAAAAGATATATATTATCAATTGCCAGTTGCCTTTTTTTTTTTTTTTTTTTGCCACAGAGAGACATTGCATGTAGAGGTATCCTCCCAAATATTATATCGATAGTGTAACAAAGAGGAAAGGAAGGAAAATGATGAAGATGGGAATCAAATACTTGGAGCCAGGCTATCTGAATGCTTTGGGAACTTTTCAGGGAGACCTTTCTCTCAGCCCCACTACCCTCAGATGCACTCACATTTGGTGGAGACACAAGAGAGGGCTTTTTTATGGCTCTGGGGCTGTGGAATGCCCTTTTTTTATTTTTATTCATTTAATTTATATTCTGCTTTTCTCCCAATATGAGATCTAAGGTGGTTCATAACACTGATTACAACAACACACAGCTAAAAGCATTCACTATATTTTTAAAAGTTTGTTTAACATTATTATCTATTTCATTAAAAATGGCACTGACTTAATACAGTTTATACAATGGAAATGGAAATAAAAGTAAAGCACTCCCCATTAAAACAGCTTTTTGCAACAATAGATTAGTAGCTGATTTTTTTAAAGTATTTTCCTGCTGGCAAAGAGAGCAGAGAGAGGCCTAACCTAGCTGCCTGTGAAAGGGAGTTCCATGCCTTGGGAGCAGCCACCAAGAAGGCCTTCTATTATTCTTCTCACTAGCTGCGTCTCTGATGGTGGTGGGACTGAGAGAAAAATCCCACCTTTCCAAGGAAAACTGGCTTGGTTCCTTCTCTGTTGTCCTTCTGCCAGCAAGCAAAGCCCTTCTTTTAATGGGCTATCATTTTAAAATGATTTTAAAAATTGCTTTTAATTCTAGTAAGTTTTAATAATACAATTTGTTTAATTGTATCCTAAATATAACTGTGTATGTTTTCATCAGTATCTTCCTATTATTCTTGTTGTGTCTTTTCTTGAGTCCCACTTTTGGAGCAAAGCAAGTTAGAAATGAAGCCAATAAAGACAATCAAGATTACACAAAAATATAATAATAATATATTAATCAACTTGGTTTAAAGTTGTTCCACTCACAATAATAACTAATGTTGTCATTCCATTATATGTTGTTGTTGCATGCCTTGAAGTCGTTTTGGAATTATGATGGCCCTATCACAGAGTTTTCTTGGCATGATTTGTTCAGAAGGGGTTTGCCCTTGCCTTCCCCTGAAGCTGAGAGAGCGTGAATTGCCCATGGTCACCCAGTTGCTTTCCATGGCTGAGCAAGAATTCGAACCCTGGTTTTCAGAGTCATAGTCCAACATACAAACCATTACACTATGCTGGCTCTCATTCATATAAAGTGTTTAAAACACAACTAAAAAGAATGCCAGATAACAAAAGGCTCCCATAGGATATTGCCATGGCAGATGAAGCAGAATGTATTACTATATTCCTGTTTGTGAAAATGAACCCATCCACTTTTACCTAAGCATCTAATGTGGAAGACAGGAAGCTTTCTTATGTTAGCTGAATAAATGTGAAACAGTGGTTACAGCAGAACTCAGAAATAATGTGTTACAAGTTAAATTGCTACCTGTAATTAGTTGCTTTTTGAAAAAAAAGGAGGGTGTAACAAAGCTACATTGTAAAGCAACGTCACAAATGAGCAAAGTATCAAGTAAGGCCTCTAGTTATTTTAACCAACACTTTTTTTGTGTAAGAATGCTCTTAAATAACTCAGCCGGGAACTTTAACCATACAAATTCAGTAAGTTCAATTCAATTCCATATTCTAACTCTGAAATAGTAGACTAAATTATTATTTGACCCTAACCTCAGATCCTTGCAACATTAAAAAAAATTAAATCACCCATTGTTGACACAGGTGATTGTTGACTTGCTCCTGAATTTATACAAAGGAAGCCAACTGGAATTTAATTATGTAATAGGGCTGGGAAATCAGCAAAAAATTATGTAATAGGGCTGGGAAATCAGCAAAAAGAAGGAAAGTTTGGAGCATAAATGAAAACACTGACATTTTAAATACACACACACACACACACACACACACACACAGTGTTCAAAATATGTCCAAAATTTTATTTTAGAGATTTGGTGTTTCCCCATTTTTAAAAACTACTGAGAGTCCCACGTCTGTGCTACTAGCTTTAGAAAATACAAATGAATATTTTAATGAAAATGCTCCTTGCATTCTTTACCAGTTTCTTTTATACTGTGATGATATGTCATACCTCTCCATTTTACATTATCATTTATTATGTATATGAATATGTTCACTCTGATTAGGGAGTTTTTTCCTGCACAAACCATTTAACAAAGGCATAGTAATTAAAATTCTCAGTTTAAGTACAGATTATAATGTCTTTTAATATCACTTCCTAAAAATAGCTTACTGTGAGTCACATTAAGATAAACTTCCTCATTTTTTCTCTCTGAATTCAGTCATGATGCTTAACTGCACATTCAGTGACATCAAAACCCAGAAATGATTTCCTTGGAGACAGTTTTAAAACTCCACCATGTATTTCTGCTAACAATTTAGGGCACAGGGTCATGTCTCCCAATATTTTAGCATCTAGATAGTTATCAACCTGGTCTGCTCCCTGTGGCTTGTTCCCTGTTTTCTATTGTCTCATGAAAACAGCTTGGTTTGTTCACTTTCAAGAGGACCTAGTGAGAGTCTGTTCTCATAGCTCTCAAGAGGTCTTACCTCCAATCCTGCAAAAAATAAATTAATTGATTGGCTAATTTTTCCAGATGCTACAATGAAATCAAAGTAGACAATACTGAGCTAGATGGAGACATGTGTGTGTGTGTGCCTTCAGATCATCCACCAACCTATGGTGACCCCATGAATTCCATAGGGTTTTATTAGGCAAGAGATATGCAAGTTTGCCAGTTCCTTTCTCTGAAATATAATTTGACCCAACACAAGGCAGTCTCCTGTTTCTTTTGTATATTATTGTTGCAGTGATGGTGGTGGAGATGGTGATGATGATGGAGTCCAGGTCACAAGGAGTATTGTCCCATCCAGGGCCAGTCTTTCCATTAGGCAGAAAAAGGATATTGTCTCAAGCAGTAGATGATGGCAGGAACAGTGATTGACCTGGCTATTCCTCTTGAGCTTTTATGGCCATTCCCTTCTCTTGGGGAGCAGGATTATGGGTACCCAACAGTGTTTCTGGACTGCTGCCCTTTGGTGCAATGAGGGGGCACTCTCTTGTTCAACACCCAGTCCTGTTTTATGTTTGTACAAAATATATGTAATTTTGTCATGCCACTGGCTTTTGAAACTGGTCTGAGCTTTTCGAGAATTTTATTTATTTATTTATTTATTTATTTATTTATTTATTTATTTAATATCCTGTTTCCCAACATGGAACAAAATATAGTTTGAAACTATGGATAGTGCAAAAGTAAAACAACAAATGAACAATTAAATAAATAATCAGAGTAAAAGCATGTTTTTGGAGCTTTTTTCCTGTTGTATCTTTATTGTAAATTGCTTGGGCAATACCAATAGACAGAAAAGCTATTTGTAAATACTTCTAATAAATAATGCACACTGTAGGGGGACAGTGTCTTGACTTTTTGCTCCCAGCAGCAAAACATCTTGAGTCAACATTGGTCTCACTTCCATCATTTCCTATTAACAGCTACAGATGGTACCATTATCTTTTTCAGTAGTGTAATACTAAATCTGAGGTGCAAGAACTCATTCTGGCAACCTCCAAAACTATAACACCTAGGAGGATACACAATGCAGGCAGCTATTTTGGAAATATGTACACAGATGCATGCATGCACACCTCCAAATATGGCAATAGCAAGTCAAAGGGCTGATAAAAACAGTGCTATGCATTGGACTTTGGGTAGAAAGTTGTGATCTTCCATAAAATTCCTAAGGTACCTTAGGTCAGTCACTGTCTGTGACTATCCTACCTCACTACTAAGAGCATAAAGTAAGTGTGCATTTTTGGAGGAAGGAACTCATATTATAGTATTCCTACTTGAATGCAGTGGAGGAAATATGGGATACATATATGAAGAACACTGAAGACCACAAGATGAAAAGAAGGAACATCTTTATTATGCTAAAAGGTTTTTAAACAGAGTCTGGATGGCTATCTGTTAGGGGTGCTTTAATTGTGTATTTCAGCATGGCAGGGGGTTGGACTGAATGGCCCTTGTGGTCTCTTCCAACTCTATGGTTCTATAAAAGGACCAATGAATTGTGACCTGTGGATATTCTTAAATTTTTCTGCAAGGACACTTGAATTCAAAACTGCAGAACTTTTTGAACAAGGAACTCCAAAACTATTTCATTTTAATAATTTAATAGTATCCACTAGTTGTAAGAGTCAATATGGTGTAGTAATTTGAGTGTTGGACTCAGGGTCATCACTAGGGGATGCAGGGGAGTGCAGACTGCACTAAACATCTGCCTTTTGGAAAAATGGGCAATGGCATTCACCTGCATCCCTATAAAATGCTGAAGAGATATAGAACGGGGCGAGACTCAGTGGGAGGAGAAAGGAGAAGCCCCAGGTTTGTTTGTTTTTTTAAAATGAAATTAGAATTTTATTTTTTAATTTAATGTTGTTTTAATTTAAATGTTTCAATGTTGTTGTTGTTGTTATTGTTGTTGTGTCCCTTTGAGTCATTTCTGACTTATAGTGACCTTAGACATTCCTATCACAGAGTTTTCTTGCCAAGTTTCTTCAGAAGGGGTTTCCCATGGCCATCCTCAGAGGCTGAGAAAGTGAGACTTGCCCAGGGTCACCCAATGGGTTTCATAGCTAAGCAGGAATTCAGACTCTGTTCTCCAGAGTCATAGTCCCACACTCTAACCACTACACCACGCTGGCTCTCTGTCTTTATACACTCCACCTTTTCCTCAAAACTCGGTCTCCAGGCAGCTTAAAAATTAAAACAAATACAATATAGTTAAAGCACATCAAAGGTTACAATAGAATTTAACTATTGATAACCTTTAAATCCATTAAAACATGCAATTAAAGGTAATAAAAATAAAATAAAATAAAAAGGTAATATCACCCCGGCTTTGACCCTGCAATCCTTGGCTCCCCATAACCATATTCCCTTCCTCCTGATGAAAATAGTTTCAGCAAATGTAATAGTTCAAGATGCAAAAAATCAAGGTATATACAGAGACAGTCTCTTACTCTTTTCCCTCCCTATTAGCCAGTAGCTGTAGCTAAGGACTCTGAACAACCATTGGTATACTTTAAAATCTTGCACAGTTTAAAGAGCAGTGGGAGTTTAAAACAAATATAAAATATTACATAATAATGGATAGTTAAAGATAGGTATGGCATATTTATTAATAGAGCAATTATTCTCTTCCATAGCAAAGATGCTAAAAGTAGGCCATGTTATCTAATTCTGCTGCATCCCTGCACCTTCAGAACAAAATAAAAATCTGCAGAAAGTCAAGCTGATAGTAAAATATTTTCTTCTTTATGATTTCTGTCAATAATTCAGGAGCCCCAAGCATGTTTTAAACCTAAGCTTGTTCCTTTAAATTTCTTCTCCCTAGAAATAGCTTACAATAGATTCCAGAGGCAGAAGTCATCACCACCGTACCACATACTTCCAGGTAGTCACTGTATCACATAGAAATATAATCACTGCGTGGTGCACATTTTCATCAGTACAGAATAGCTGTGGGACCCTAGGTTCATAAGCATTAATAATTTTCTTTATATTTATTTAAAAAGGGCTAAAAGGGGGGGGTCAGCAGGGGAGTTATGGTCTTCAGCGTTTCAGAGGGACTGATACAGCCCTAGATCTTGGATACCTACTCATTGCTGGTCTAAATCCAACAATATTGTTCTTGTTCCAAACCACAATAAGATGTCAGTCTGAATACTCGAGTATGTAGCGTGGATGTATTTCTCAATGCACCCCTGAGACTTAATGTCTAGATTTTGGTAGTGGATTTGCACAGTAGATGTTAGTATGCCAGATCTGGTCTTGACTACTAGAACACACTCTGTTTAGGGCTTCCTTTCAAATGTTTTTGGAAACTTCAGCTGGGCCTGCATGCAGCAGCCAGACTATGGACTGGGACTGGGCATAGAGAAGCAAGTGAATGAAATCAATTATTACAACAACTTTATGGGCTAATATAGGCATTCCTCAATTAACCAAGCCTTTGACAAAGAAACTCCTTTTTACAAAGTCTCTTTACACTAGTGTAGCCCCCTTTTCCCCTCTTTGTTCTCTGCCTAGCTAGAAAATATTTAGCAGCATTGGCATTGAGAAAATAGTAGAGGGCTGGAGAAATTTTTAGTATCAGGTT